TGGTTGTCATGACAACTTCGATTCGTTGTCGAAACCCTTTCCTGCGCAAATTAGTAAAGCTCATCTACCGCTGAAATAAGTTTCCTTCATCATAATACATTGTTCTGTTGTTAGTCTTCCTTCCTATTGTTTATCATTCATCTATTTTCTTCAGTAATCTTAATGAAACCTTATGAATCTTCAATATACCAGGAATCTTTTTTGAATTCCCCACTGCAAAATGATGTCCCTAGTAACACCTCTTATGATGCGCATGTTCACTCGCCTTTGTCCTCCATCATCATCACGCTAGAGCATGATACACCCAGTCTAATCATTAAATATCCTATACAGTCTGCGTCAACGATTTGCTCTCTTTCCCTTCAGTACACGCACAACGCCAGAGCGTTCGCAGGTGTATTGCTTAATTCAAATTCGCCGCATCGGTCGGAGACGGCTGCGCAATGGCCACGCGCTGCGGATGCGCAATTGCTACGGAAATGGGAGCGCGTGATTGACACAGATTGTATGTGTGATCACGCACACTGCACGCTGTACGCACCTTTTCTCGATTTTTCGGCAACGGAGGCACACTTTTGCAGAATGAGCGCTTTACAACTTCTTTGTTTAGTGTTCGTTCTTTCCGGATGCTGTGAAAATCATCTGGCAAGGATTTAGGAAACGTATAAAAAAAGGCAAATAGGGAGTTAAGGATATTGTGTAGCATGTGCGACCACCACTTTAGCTGGCCATACTGAACATACTCGATTTTTGAACAAGCCTTTCCTTACAAAATGCCAAAAACCATCTCTTCATAAAAGTAGATGATTTAGATCCACAACATCGAACTCCTTCAGAGTTCTGCGTTTTTTTTGAAATTGTTCATTCTAAAATAAAAAATGCATTGATAACCTTGTATACTGTCGTCGGGTGTTGGTTTAGACACAGTATTATTGTCCTGCACCAAGCTTCATAGACTTTTGTCAACTAACAAGGGAAGCGTCATTACTCAAAGTGGCCTTTCCAGATGAACCCCATATTGCTTTGAAGAGCATTAAGCGGTGTTTCCAAATCTGCCTTCCAAATCTGCCAAGCGCCTCTGGCCGCCGAGTTATGACCATTTTTTGAAACGGAAAATGAATGCAGAATTTAGGTAAAATCGATTGTTACAATCCTTTAGTGCTCAGATAAATCAATATTAAGTGTTAGCATATTAGACAAAATGTATCCATTGCATAAACGGCTCTGGTATTTGATACTGGACCATTTGAGTACATTTGGGTGATTTTGTTCCAGTTTTGCGTTCAATTTTTTGACCCGGAAAACGCCCTAACTCGGTGTCCAAAGGCGCTTGGCAGATTTAGGCAGATTTGGAATCACCGCTTAATGCTCTTCAAAGCATTGTGGGTCTCATCTGGAAAGGCCACTTCGACTAATGACGCTTCCCTTGTAAGATATGTAGATGGCTTAGCCTTCTTATCGCTAGTGTTGACTAACAGCTATTTTCTGTTATCGTTTTCATAGGTCAGCATGTAAAAATTAAGAAATGAAAGGGAAAAAAGGTCGCTTCCTCCGATTCTTGGCTGTTATTCTCAATGAATCCAGCTTTGAAGGTGTTTTCGTGCGCACATTTGGTGCAAACTTCATAGGCTGATTTCCTTTCGGTCCAGCATTGGAACTGATAGCTCATTATCAGTTTTTCTTAATAAAAAGTTTTGTTTTTCATGTGAGATTTGTACTGTGATTATCTTCAAAAGAATGCTAATTGAAGGGAGCAAATTTAATCAAAATTTCCTACGCTGTACAAAAGCACTTATTCTCCAGAATCTATTCGATTTCAATATTTTTTGCCTCAAAGGCATTGAATTGAAACACTTTTCTCTCCCTTTTTGTGCCCAATATACGGGTACGCGAAAGCTTCTGAAAAGTGCACAGTGATGAAAGATTTGTGCCACTTAAAAAGCAGATTGAAAAAATTATCTGCTAAGAAATTTGAACTCAATCTTGAACGGTGGTTCTGGCCCTTCTGCAACGAATAAAGCTTCCGAATCAAACCGATTGCGGGATTTCTACTCTACACCCTGAGAGTACCCAAACATACTACTGCAAAAATAGCAGTCTCTCACTGGCGGCCGCGAAGATAAGGAAAAACTGAAAAGTCACAGTTTACGCCTTGTTCAAGTCAGAACGGATGATTTGAACCTTTGCGTTTGTTTCTTGCAAAGAATGTTTCATTGCTTGGGCTTGGCCGCTGCATAAGCTGTCATCGGCTGCTCAGTGACGTTTTCGTTCTTCTGTGTCTCAAAGTAAGTTATGATTCCTCACCAATTTTGGCACTAAGAGTTCCAAAGTATTTGGTATCTTTGGGCTAGAAAAAACATTTTGGATGGTGTTATAATGCAAAAGTGGTGCACCGCTATAATAAATTTCATTGTAACCAGAAAAATATTCGAAATGTCGTAATAAAGTTAAGTAGGACCTTGAAAGACGTGCACTTATTGTGGATAAATCTAGTAGTATCCATGGATTGGTAAAAGTTTGATAGCTTTACATAGGACGAAAAATGATGGCTTTTTTGATTATACAAGGGCCTGCAGAGATGTTCACACGACGGTGGGAAGAACTTCGGCGTAATCGTGATTTTTGATTGATGAAGCTCTCCTTCTACTATGCGCGAGTCATTTGTGACCGCAAATGAAAGTCTGCATACTGAAACTGACGACACCCCACTACTAGTCAGTAAGACTTTGCTAGCAGACTGTGAGAATATGTACAATTACCCAATACATATCGATCTGACCAAACGAGTCAAGAAAAAGAGGAAAAACTGGAAATCAATTCTTGTCTTACAGTCGTGAAGTTACGCGTGATGCGCCATTACGCATCTTATATATAAAGCTGAATGTCTGTTTGTATGTATGTATGTATGTATGTATGTATGTCTGTATGTCTGTCTGTGTGTACGTATGTTCCGAATAGAAAATTCCATTTCCGAACCGATCCGGACCAAACTTGGCACACATACACTTCGGGCCCCGACGCGTGTCATAGGCTACTTTTCGTCATCGATCTATATCGATTTTATCGATTTTTATCGATTTTTTTGCTGAGTTCACCTACGGGGCTGGGAGTTGGCACAGGGGGGTAATCGAGCATGGGGATTCCGAATACAATACTGGTTTTCAGGATTATCGATTACTTTTATCGATTTTATCGATTTTTTGCAAAGTTTGAGCTACGGGGCTGGGAGTTGGCACAGGGGGGTAATCGAGCATGGGGATTCCGAATACAATATTGGTTTTCAGGATTATCGATTACTTTTATCGATTTTATCGATTTTTTTGCAAAGTTTGAGCTACGGGGCTGGGAGTTCGCACAGGGGGGTAATCGAGCATGGGGATTCCGAATACGATATTGGTTTTCGGGATTATCGATTACTTTTATCGATTTTATCGATTTTTTTGCAAAGTTTGAGCTACGGGGCTGGGAGTTCGCACAGGGGGGTAATCGAGCATGGGGATTCCGAATACGATATTGGTTTTCGGGATTATCGATTACTTTTATCGATTTTATCGATTTTTTTGCAAAGTTTGAGCTAGGGGGCTGGGAGTTGGCACAGGGGGGTAATCGAGCATGCTGATCATTCCCAAGGGGGGTGATCAGCATGCTCGATTACACCCCTGTGCCAAATTCCAGCCCCCTAGCTCAAATTTTCAAAAAATCGATAAAATCGATAAAAGTAATGGACGATCTTGAAAACTAATATTGTATTCGTAATCTGCATGCTCGATTACCCCCTGTGCAAACTCCCAGCCCCGCAGGTCAAACTTTACAAAAAAATCGATAAAATGGATAAAAGTAATGGACGATCCTGAAAACTAATATTGTGTTCGTAATCAGCATGCTCGATTACCCCCCTGTGCAAAATCCCAGCCTCGCATGTCAAAATTTACAAAAAATCGATAAAATCAATAAAAGTAATCGATAATTCTGAAAACTAATATTGTATTCGGAATCCCCATGCTCACTTCCCCCCCTGTGCCAACTCCTAGCCCTGTAGGTGAACTCTGCAAAAAAATCGATAAAATCAATAAAAGTAATCGATAATTCTGAAAACTAATATTGTATTCGGAATCCCCATGCTCACTTCCCCCCCTGTGCCAACTCCTAGCCCTGTAGGTGAACTCTGCAAAAAAATCGATAAAAATCGGTAAAATCGACATCGATCGATAACGAAAAGTGGACTGTGACACCCGCCGGGGCCCGAAGTGTATGTGTGCCAAGTTTGGTCCGGATACGGCGGAGCCGGGTAAGCCAGCTAGTATTATATAAATGATTCGACGATAAATGCTAGCTATTTCACCATTCATGCCACAATATGAGCGCTTGCAAATTTCGCATTTTCATCCCAATTGCATACCTGATTGACTAGAACGACGCGTTTTTTCCATGTGTTGCCTAAAATCTGTCCCTTTGCATATCCGTTTTACAGTATATACATTGTTTGTCGGAAGCTTCGTGTTGTATTTCAAAAGAGCAGTACATCCTCGATACATCCAGCGGCTGAAAACAGGATCAATACAATCATTACGGGAACGCTAAATCCTTGCGTTTTCATGAGACTGGATTTTTGGGCGTTCCAACCCCACTTCCCTTCACAAAACATAGTTTGCTAGTTGGATCATGGTTACCGCTTCCGCTTTTGAAATGAAAACTCCAAATTTGGCACACGAAACATTATAGCGTTCACTCTCGAATTTCGCTCCAAATTTGGTATTCATCACATTAGGGAGCGAGTTGCAAGAGAGACGAAAACGAACAAAACTGCATTGAAACCGCTAAGGTCGGTCAAAATCTCACAATTCGATCTCTCTGCTAGAAGTGTGCCGGAATTTTCGGATCGGTATAAAAGCAGTCTAAGCAGGACATTGGCGTTAACCCACTCATCACTGACCCACTTCGTTACGCGCACCCTTGTTCAAAGGATAATCCAGAGTAAATAATCCCCAGTGAAATTCAGAGGAATACGGATGGTTGTTCGCTATGTAGAATACGTCTCTGAGGACGATGTGCTCGCGGACATCGCCATCAAGAGCTCTACGTCGGCCAGTTTGAGAACATCCAACGCCATTCTTTTGAGTAAGAAATCTTACATCTACAGATATCTCTCAAACTCCAGTAATTTTTTTCAGCGGCTTTGCTTCTGGCATCATACATACTGAATATTATTTTGCTAACAACCATCTACACAAAGTATTACTTTTCCATATATCAAACGCTTGAATCAAATGATGAAATCTTTCAGCAAAAAATTTCGAGCATCACTGATCTACATAATATTCGCACATATCTCGCTAGTTAATCTGGTAGACCTGTCGTTCTCAGTGTTGATCTCCATGCTTTTTGTTGCCAATGGGAATTGGTTGTTTGGCGATGAATGGTGCAAGATAAGTACGGCAGCGCAAGAGGTAAGATTGATGTTTGTTCAGATCACTACATGAGGAGACTCCATGTGTTTAAATATCTCGTTCTCACCATTATTACATGATTTCGCTTAAAGTAAAAAAGCCATGAAATCGGGCAGTACTGTCTCACTGCTTTGAAAAGTTAGGGTGAAAACTATTTTATGCAAAGCTTACGAGAAAGGCAATGCTCATTGCGCTGAGACAGTGAGCGCATTATAGGCGAACGAATAATTAATTAATTAATTAAGAATAGTGTTATACTTCTTTAGTAAGCTGAAATTGCCTTTAACCAGAGTCAATCGTAAGTTTTGCATTATATGTTCTCTCAGACATTAGGTTTTATTTTACAAATGGTAGAGGCCTTAGTGACTGGAAGGGAAATACCATTAGAAAATACAGAAATAAAGGGTGTCCCAAAAATGTGGACACTGTTTGATTGACGATTATTCTCTTGTTTTGAGGTTCTTTACCGATCATTAGGTACGCTTTGCATGGCTGGCTTCAACTAACAAGATTCACAGTATGAAGCGAATCATCGCTTCAATTAGTGTAGGCTTACGGTAGGAACTTTCAGCATATGGAAAATTTGAGTTGGGCCGTCTGCCAGAATTACTTCAAAATCTCGAGAAGTTTGGGTCTTCTGGGTAACACAATGTGGGTAAAATTGTGGTTAACCCAGGGTATTCACACATGGTGATTTCACTGCGCAGCTTTATGCCTTTTTTGGCTTTTCAGTGGTAAAATCATTTCTGACGATTATTACAGTAAAGTTTGAACTTCATATCTGAAATAAGAGGCATTGGCTAGCCTCGTATGAGACTTTTTAGCTTGTTTGGTCCTCTTTCTGATTCAAATAATGGCCCTCGAAAGCCTGAAATTCCTCCTGAGGTTCCTACCGTAATCCTACAGTAATGAAAAATTGACCGGTGATTGGCTGCATATTGTAAAAGCTAAGTTGAAGCCAGCTCTACATAATGGTACCTAAGCATGACGGATGACGCTAAAGCAAGAGATTTATCAACGATCAAGCATGTGCATCTTTTTCTAAACCCCCTGTTTACAGGAACGATCAAATTATCTGTCCCGATATTATTAGTGCTCTTAGACATTTATTTGTAATGTTTTGTCACTGAAATGCCCAATAATGTAAAAAAAGATTTTTTCGCGAACTTCCTACTGGCAGAATCTGACTACTATGTTCATATCCAGATACGCAATGAAATTAGGTTTCTAAGGCGCGAATGAGGCCGAGGGCATAGAAAGTTTTCAAATTTCAGTTTTGTCATCTATACACGATGCTTTTATTGATGCTAGCCGCAGTGGAGAGAGCTGTCGGGTTGTCTTTCGAACCTCGGGTATTTATCAACCAAAGGGTTTACGAGCAACCTCCATTCTTCACCCTTAAAAGAATCCTTGGTAAGTTTGACGTGCCAGTGGTACCATAGTTATAGACAACAAGTACTAGATTTCTTTCAATGAAGGTTCAGGGTGCTGCTCCTTAGAGCAAAGCAAGCTCGCTCTACAAGATGGCAGGCAAATGCTTGCATGGCTTTTGATGCACTTTTTGAAGCTCATATTTAGAAAGTTCTAAATGCCTAAAAAATTGGAAATATTGATAATTGTTTGAAAAAATTTTACGAAATTCTCGCTCCCTCATACATAAATATTCCCCATCAAAAGCTCATATATATCGTTGCCTTTTCTTTGGTTAAAATCGAGAAAGAAAATTCTCATGATTGTGATAGAGCTATGCAGTTGTTCACATATAAGTAGTTGTATGTTACAGTCTTTAGAAGTACAACCGAGATTTTTTGCTTTTTACAAGCTCTGGTTCCCCGAGAAATGATGATTCTAGCATGAAATATCCTAGTAAGGAAATTTGAATTTGATAACTCATGAAGAAAAAAAAACGAAGTAAGTTGAAGATATATGGTTGTACTTCAAAAGGCTTGTTGATATACAATCTTGTATTAAAGCTGAATGTCTGTTTGTCTGTCTGTCTGTCTGTCTGTCTGTATGTATGTATGTATGTATGTATGTCTGTATGTCTGTACGTATGTTCCGAATAGAAAATTCATTTCTGAACCGATCCGGACCAAACTTGGCACACATACACTTCGGGCCCCGGCGGGTGCCATAGGCTACTTTTCGTCATCGATCGATATCGATTTTATCGATTTTGTCGATTTTTGCAAAGTTTGAGCTACGGGGCTGGAGTTTGCACAGGAGGTAATCGAGCATGGGAATTCCGAATACAATGTTAGTTTTCAGGAATATCGATTACTTTTATCGATTTTATCGATTTTTTTGCAAAGTTTGAGCTACGGGGCTGGGATTTGGCACAGGGGGTAATCGAGCATGCTGATTACGAGTTCAATATTAGTTTGGCGCTATTCGGCTATCCGGGCCCCAAAATTTTTTTGCGATAGAGCTTGCTCAAACTTCGTGTATAAGGGTTATCTTAAGGGTCTGGCATACTTCAAGCGATTTCAATCGCGACGCGATTTGGCAATATTCCAGGTGTCCATATCTCATTGTAAGCACATTATAGATGCACACAAGATAGGACATTTCATCAGTTTACGTAAGTTATACACACTATGCATGTGCAGTTTGCTGATGTTGGATCCGAAGACTTCTGGCGAATTGCCAAATCGCGTCGCGACTGAAATCGCGTGAAGTATGCCCGGCCCTTTACATGCTGATTACAGATATCACACTTTCTCCGCAGAACGTCTTCCCGTGTGTTTACGATAGGTGTAGGGTAGGAAGTCAAAATCATGAATTCGGCTGGAGTTTGGTCCATATGGCTTATTCGACATGCTAATTACGAATATCATCTCTCTCTCTCTCTCCCTCTTTCTCTGCATATTGGGACCTCTTCATAGAGTTGTGGTGGTTATATGGCATGGGGTCGAAAACATAAATTTGCTTTAAACTTCGTCTAGGGTGGTCATTTAGCGCGCTGAACATGAATATCATGCTGATTTCGCAGGATAGTGCATTTTCTTGGGTTACGGTGGGTGTAGATGGGTGAAGTTCCAGATTTGCACAAAACCTTACCTGTAACGGTTCACAAGTATATCGCTTATGAATATGATGCTTGCTCGCTGTCATAACGCAATAGTGAAGTTATGGTGAGTTGCAGGGTTTGAATGGACATTTTTTCGCCTTGGGGCCAATTTAGATCCCAGATATTCAAGAGATGGGGAAACGGTCGTTTTGCATAGCGGTCTCCAGCGCCATCCTGATAACCTGTCCCAACGCCTAACGCACGCGGCAAATCTCCCTCCCCCTTTTTTTGCTTAGGCAGACGCCGAAGGGTGTCTCGCGCGCGGCAGTGGTCCTATAAGGGAAAGCATTACGGTCGTGGGAAATTTTTATATCACCCATTGCCTTTATCGTGGGGATTGAGCACGATATTCTTGAAACAGCACTTTAGGTAATTTTCTGCTTAGGTTTCAGGCAGGTTCATGATTTTTACCTGCTGCCACGCTAAATGACTACGATATTCGTCATCAGCGGCTTGAATAACCCCCATATACCGAGTTTGAGCAAGATCCACCTCAAAAACATTTCAGGGCCCGGATAGCCGAATAACGCCATCAGTTTTTAGAATTATCCTCACTTTTATCGATTTTCTTGTTTTTTTTTTGCAAAGTTTGAGCTGCGGGGCTGGGGGTTGGTGAGGAAAATATGTAGGTGAGCATACTGATTACTCACACAGCGAGAATAGGGAATTGCATGTAGAAGTGTGCACAGGTAAAAGTGTACAGGGATAGAATTGGAACCTTTAGCGTCTTCGACAGGGCCGGGTGGAGCCGGCTAAGCCAGCTAGTTAGTTATGTGGAAACAGCGTAGCTTCACTTCTATTCATGAAAATTTTCTTCTTCTCGAGTTAGCCCGAGGAAAAAATGTAGCAGCGGATGAGTGTCTGATGTTTATGCATGCACGAATATGCTGTCCTCCATCGAAAAATATCCTGAGGCCTTGCTTAACGTGAAAAATTATAAGACTCATTGAAGACTTATTGTGGTAAATCAAAGTGTAGCAAGACTTATGTAGCAACTCAATAGGTCCATGTCATTTGTTCGTGTGAAGCTCAATACCCTGAATTCAAGATGCAGTAAAAGACATTCATTTAGAAGTAGAACATTTTTTCCAAACTGAACGTCATGACCAATGTTACCATAAGTATCATTGTCAAACAGTCTTGGAATGTTTCCCCTTTGGCGCAGCGAGCCATTAGGAAACACAGTTACAGCACCAATACACATGTGCTTTTATTTTGATTGATAAGATTATTATTCTGAGAATTCCTATAAGACTTCTAGGCACTGAATACTTACGTGGAATTTGATTGGCAAGATTTGACTTAGCTGTTGTCTAAGAGGCAGCTTATGCCAAAGCTTACACATGTGTTCGTGGCTGAGAATCCAAATCTGCTTTTGCTCAAGCCGTGCTTTTGATCAGCGCCCAGTTACGGTAGAGAGTACATTCTTGCGAGAAAGAAGAAGATGAATTTTTTGATTCGAAATGGAACATAGGAACTGATGCTTGGTCAGTGACTTGGCTAAGACAAATCTCCCACATGAGAGCAAGGTGACCAAATGTGCCTGGATGTGCTTGCAGATATGAAAAATTGTCATCATAGGAGGGGTACAAACAAAACGCTCTCTTGTCTTCCTCCCCCTCACCCCCCCCCCGTATGAAGCTCGATTTGTGCTAAACGAAGTTACGCAAACCTTAAGAAAGACCTAGCTAGATAAGAAAGACCTAGCTAGATCGTCAGTCTCCAGCAACGCAGCATTTGGTATAAGTGACAATATCGCGCATTACTAACTTCACCGTAGTTTGCAGTATTCACACCAGATCCATTCTAAGTGTTTCATTTTTTTGGAAGCTACATGACTTTATTTACAGTTTTCGCTCTGCTTCTGGCTATAGTCAGCCTCGCAGTGAGTATACCGTCCGCCACCGGGCTGCTTCCTGTAAAGCCGTTCCGAAATCGATATGTCTGCTCTGTCAGCAGGTAAGGCGTATGAAATGAAATGAACGACAAATGTCTTACTACTAAGGCAGTTATGAATTCACAATGAGAAGAGGTGCAAAGGTTGGAAAGTGATTCGTGCAGCTGTAACGCAGGTCATTTAGAATGTTGATGTTCATAGGTTTTCTAGAGGTTCAATAGTCTCATAGATTGTGAAGTGACCGGCTCCAGGGCTCGGCACAGGCGGCTTATAAGCGAGCTGGATATCGCTTTTAGGACAGAAAGCAAAGAGGGTTTCGAATTTGTGGCCGGAAAGACACAAAATTGCGACTTCTTTTGGTCGACGTTTCGATTTTGGAGATTTTTTAGGGATTATGGTCTAGGGTCAAAGGGGACTTCGTTTTTTGCATTTCCAACTAGCCACCTTGAACGGCTCTACCGGATTTCTTCTAAATTCGCGCCAAATCGCTATGTCCCGGTTCACAACGAAAGAGTTGTGATTCCAAATCCACCATTCGACTCACCATCAGCTTACGGCTCGCGTCTTTTGGTATATCAAACTCCTCTTTGACTGACCACTCATATTTGATAAGTGGTATCTGACGAACTTCGCATTCCTGTTGAAACTGTAACGATTTTGCACTTTTTTGCGAAATGAGAAAATTTTAACCTCTTTAGAGAATCGGAGATGGTTATGTTGCCCCACATATTCCGACAGTGCTCCATCATGTTCGGGCGCTCTGTTCCTGCCCTCTCTTGAGGCAACTGTTGTTTCATCATTACTCTTATATCCCTGCAAAAAATGGGCTTCTTCTCCAGCTTCTTCGCCCTTGTCCAGAATTACACCCATGCTTTTCAAGAGCGCGCTCTTAAATCAACAAAGGGAAATAATATGTAATATTGTTTGTGCAGGAGTTGCACCCGTGCCAAAGCTTTGATACGTTGATAAATTAATGATTTCTGGTAAAGACCTTAAAAAAATTCATTTCGTAGAGGAGAAAACGAATATTGAGAGAATGGATACATCAATTCATGTTGCAGCGGAGCTCCTCTTGGGTACACGTTGACGCGAGCGGTGCTGTATATAGGTTGTTTGTGTGTCCTCCTCGTATGCCTATCGGCAATCTTCAAGAAACGGGTACGTTTCATGCCTTAGCCTAGGAACTCAACTAGAGATCAGTCTCTAGGTGGGCATCAGCATACCGCAGCAGACAAGCGACTACTCCGAGTTTATCAACAGAAATCGAGCTAAGCAAGAGTTCCTCAGCAGAGCAAAATTGGTAAGTCGAGGCTCGATACTCTCAGCGATTTTTTGAGACTCTGTTTTGTAGCAAAATCACGCCAATGTTAGCTTTTTTTTACTTACGCGAAAGCTATTGTAAATTCAAAGTTAGATTAAAAAATTTATACTTGAGGTGTAAATCAGAGAAGACGTTAGCCACACAATTTTAGTTGAAGGCAGCGTCCACTCAGAATTTCGCCTCCTGTATGCCATTTCGGGGCCTTTCCGTGGCCCTGATTACAGTTATGAAGTACAAATAGTCCAAAAACCTCAAAAAAAACCCCGATTCCTGAAAACCCTGTCTTGAGAGGGCGCGGGCCCGCATATGTAGCTTCTTCAAAAACCTTGTAGAGAGCCAAGTAAGCTCTGTAGAAAATTTCCTCAAAATTCTAAGGTCTACGGATTGCTCTTAGTTTGAAAAGAAATCCAAAAATACTTCATCCCCAAAACTAGAAGGTTCTGTCGCACTGCCCTATACCCGAAGAACTCATGACAAAGCTTTATGTTTAAAATCAAAAAGTTTAATTTAAAGAATTAGTTTAAAAAGCATGAAATGTTTTTAAAATTTTCTGTGCCTTCGTCCAAATAAAACTAACCAAATCCCAACCAATTCGTTAAATTAATTCTGTGTCAGTGTAGCGATATCTGCTATAGAAAAGATGGATCATTGAACTTCGAAAATTCTCTGCAATTTTTTACGCTTATATGCTTACTATATGCTTACAGTGATATCCATTTTGCAGGTCGTTTTTCTTGTATGCATCTTCATATTGGTGGCAGGACCATATATATCACTCACTTTCACCTTTGAGGTATATCACTTAAACACAGTACATCAAGTACCTTAATTGGCTCAGTTATGAATGTCAGATTTGTAACAGCTTGGAGCTCGGTTCTGGAAATGGACCATTGCTCGACATACCTCAGGATGCAGATACACTAATTACATGGCTGATGTTCTTGTTTCCTCTGCTCTCACCGATAGCGGTAGGTATTACAAGCGTCAAGGTATCTCTCAGAGGTTACTTACAGATCTTATGCTGGTGTACAGATGTATGGCTTTACACAAAGGAGCTGTTTTGTTGCCGTTCTGACAACCCTGGATCTGTCGGATACTTTGCCAATGGGTATAATAAAGGTAAGCGTAGGTCCAGAGTTGCCCATTGCCGGCGCTCTGCCAGCAGCGTTCCAGCTCCAATGCCAATGTAGTGCCTCGTATTGATTGGTCGACTTTGACACCGCGCTGCAACTGCTGCGCGGTGCTATCTCGGCGCTGGCACGGGGCAGCCTACGCATCTTTACACGAAAGCAGAAGAGTACTTTATTTTCCACCATCTTAGGAATGCCTGCAATGCCACCGGTAATGACACTCGTAGCCACACCGCAAGGCCTTCAACTAAGGCTACCAAAACCGCTTCCCAATAATTCACAGGACGTAAGACAAAATAACATGCTTACCGTACCCGAACGAGACCCGCCATTGCAGGGTAAGTTCTAAAATATTCAAAATATCTCAAATCTGAATGAAAATTGACCCCTTTTCAGATAAACCTTCGCCAAGCCGAGATAACAGTCAAGAACCTAATGCTGACAACAAGCCGGAACAAGCTGCTACTTCCTCCAAAGAAAACAGCAAACCTGCTGTGAAAAAGAAGAGCCAAAGCAAAATAAAGTCACCGACCCCTATAGGTCAGTTTAAGACCTTTCAAAGTTTCAGAAAGACTTTGTAAGTTTCAGGTCAGCTGAAGTCAACAACACCTCGGCGTAATGGTGGCAAAGTCAAAAAGAGGACAAATACAAGACGTCCACGTTGATATCAAAATTCCGCTGTAGCGTTTTTTGATGCTGAGCTAGTAGTCTTCCAGAATTTATAAGCATGTTGACAAATGTATAAAGTGGAAATATTGGATGCATTTATCAAAAAATTTGGAATGTGTCAGATTATTTTTGAATTCCCAATCTTAGATGGATACTTATTGAATGCGTAAACAAAAAGTCCACAAGAACTTGTACTTGGCAGCACCGTTCCCAGTCAGGCCTATGTGTCTGTATGCTTTGAATTCTTTAAAACCATCGATATCCTTGCGAGAATGAGCACATAAGCGGAGCGGATTTGTATGAATGAGGCAGTGTTTTTTAAAAAATTTCAATAAACCTGAGTCGGTAGCTCATTTGGTGTAAATCTCTGAAGGTCAGATTGTAACAGAAGAAGCCCCACGTATTTGGAGACATTTCAATTTATCTTAAACTGCACTTAGTTCCTGCAGCTTTAGCAACCTAAGCTGAAACAGATGAAGTGTCCACAGCCTTGATATAACCAACCCGTGAGTGACCCAACCCATATATGGCACATCAATCGACTATTACTGTCAAGATAGAAAAAAGTGAAGAGCAGGGCTTTGCAATAAGCACATTTTTACACATATTGGAGCTGATCTCGAGAGTAAATGAGTTCTTCTTCTTGAATCTGCTAAGGATATCATGCCTTTTGACGCAATCGCGCACACAGATTCATTAGCACCGATGGAGTAATATTGCCCTAATGATTATTCTTATGAAAATGAGGCATGCAAGTGCTATGTAAAGTAGCTTGTAAGGTAAACTATCAATCGCTCAGTTCCTTGCGAGTGCTCTTAAGGTTTTGCAAAATGATGCGGTATTTCCCTTTGAAGCCATGTTATAGGTGAGATCTGCGAAAAGCAAACCGTTTTCCATGAACTATCCTCAAGAATTCAATCTTTTTCTAAAACCTTTAGGCAGAAAAAGAAGAAAGCGGTAGAGGTGCAAATCTGCCTACTACCATTACCGAAAGCCTCACGAAGCGATGTGTCTCATCCTACTCTATTGTGGTAGTATGAATATCGATAAAAATGAGCAATTTTTATTACCCGAAATCGGTTGTTAATGGGCAGCTTACCGCACAATAAAAAAGTGCAAAAAAGAGAGAGACAAACTGAGATAAAAAAAAGTAAAAAGTCACTAAGATGGCGCCATTGAGCGCAAATTAATTGACCACTGAGTTTGATATGTACAAGAATCAACAACGGAGTAGCGATTATCCAGAACAACGAAAAGTAAGCTTGAGAGGCTAAGGCACATGAGAATCAGCAAAATCGGCAAGTTCGCGAGCAGTCTCGACGCATGAAGATCGACGAAACCAGACAGACTTGTGGATTTCGTTCCAACCATGCCGCACACCACGGTGACCGATCGAAGCACGTACTCTGAAATCCCGAGAGTTAGCAAAAAGTAGAAAAAAAGCAAGGAAAAAAATCAAAATTCAAGCCTAACTGGTACCGATTGCAATGACATAGGCCTGTCGAACACAACCGGGCCAATCCTTCGAGACATTATCCGTTCTCCTGCAAAGATAAATATTAAGCAAATTTGGCATGATTTACGTAAGATGTTTGTTGTTACCTCGTACTCGTTGACGCATAGCTTCAAGTTCCGCTTGTTGCTGACGAAGGCGGTTCATTGCAATTTGTCGAGCTTCCGAAGGAACGAATATCTGAACGAAAACGTAAAGATTATTTTGAAGGCATAAAAATACAAGAAAATCGAATAAACTTGCAATACTGAGTTTATAAGTCGCTATCATCAAAGCATCGTTATACTGCTGTCAAATGTATCCTACGGCAATTCATTCTTGTTGTCAGACTAATTGAAAGTGTTGTTTATTTCAAGAAAAATTTCCATTCGGCGTCATTTTGGCTATTTTGGCGATGCGTACCCGAAATGAATATGTGGGTCAAGCCGTTTTATGTGCCGTATTTGGACAAATTCTAACCTAGTCATCTTCTCGCGCGTTTAGCGAATGACTTCAGATTTTAGTAGCTATTTTATACACTTTCTATCCAGAGAGTAAAAAAGATGCGAACATCGTCTTCTCTTCTTGAATTGCGTTCAAACCATTGAAGCAAATAATGACGGATGTGGTACGCGTGTTGATCCATGAAAATTCGCAGGTTGAGGTAAAGGTTCAAAAATTCGCTAACTTTCAATGGAAAATGTATTATGAACATGTAGCACGGGTTCTCCTGCAATCCTTGAGAATTTGATGCTTGACCATGTTTTAAATCTTGTCAACAACTCTAATAAACAAGAAGTCTATTGGCGTAGTAATTTTGGATGATTATGCCATAAATGTTTGTGATGTTCTAAATTTATTTTCTGCCTGCAATCATTGATAATGATGCTTGGAAAGTCACCATATGGTCACACTTTCTCTACACGGAGGCATAATTCATAAGTGTTTTGAAGTTCCTTTTCTATTTGAATCTAATTTTATAATATATGTGATATCTTAATGAAATGAATAAGTTGTTAGCAATGGGTAAAACTGAGTGCTAGGGTGATACAGCTGGCAAAAAGATGGACAGAGTCGATGCTGTAGCAGAAGGAAAAGCATGCTCTAGGAATAGCTTAACCCTTCCTAGACAAAAAATGTACAGAAATTAATTTTGGTAAAGAAATCCACTCACCGGTTTCAACGGTCGAGATATGCGACGTCTCAGCGGATTGCCCGATGACGATGGGAAGAAGGCTGTGGTCGCTGCGGAAGTGGCGGGGGTAGTGGGAGCAGGAGTGGTCGTCGTAGGTCTCGGATGTCGAGCTGCATTAGACTTGGATTCACGCCAAAACCACCGTAACCTCCCGTTCGGGGAAGATGTTTTTCCTCTGATAAGCGCTATGAAGCGAACAGGTGCTTTTGTGGAAGCGAACAGTGGCACTGTGGTTCTAATGCGTCCTTTCGGGGGTGTGGTGGGTGTGGTAGGGGGTACAATAGGAAAGGGTTGTCGGGTGGTCCTCGAACGAAAGATGGGCATGGTGAAGGGTGCACGGGGAGGGGAGGGTGGGGTTCGGCTTACTGGCCGGGGCCGGGGTGTAGTCGATGTCTGTGTGGTGGGGGGTGGAGTGGACGTCGTCGTCGCCGCTGTCGTGGCGGTGGTGTGCGCAGAAGCTTCTATTGTGCTAGCAAGTTTAGCTAAAGTGCATGTCTAAAGCCACAAGGCTCTTCTAAGCTAACAGAAGAAAGTTTGAGTTAATAAGCTACAAAAAAAGAGATGTGCCTAGAAAAGATTTACCTCGTTTCAGGTTGAGGACAGCTTCGATGACTACCTTGATACCTGCCCAAGTTTCACGCCCGGTCGGAATAAGTTGACGCGAATCAAGTATGAATCCATCCCAAACTTAAAGTGAAAGTTTATTGAAGTTTGCAAACAGTCAAATTGCAAAAGACCTTCTTCCCCTGGTCGCAGTTCCATCAGATAAACATATTTCGCTCCACCTTTTCCTTTTGCCCAGTCATCAGAACCTCCAGAGGAAGGATCTGGAATTCAAACAATCTGTGAAAACTTTTCCATTTGATGCTTGAGATCCACTAATTGCACACGTTTCAAAGAAAAAAGTCTGTTGTCTTACATAGAATGTCGGCACCAGTTCCAAAACGGTATTTTGTTCCGTAGACGCTCTCTAAGGCACTAATAGCTCTTCTTCCTACATCTTCCTAGAAAAATTAGGGTCAGTAACATCGTCTGTTTGTTTTGATAGCTTCTAGATTAATTTCGTGAAGAAGAAAATGTGAAGAAAGTAGAGCCAAAAATAAATGAAACAAAACCGATAAACAAGGACATAACATCAAATGAAAATATCTAATGATGAACTTATTATAAGAAGGTTTTGCTAGTTCAAAACGACACGTAGAGTTTGCTATGAAGAGAAAAATCTTTTCAAAAGTAATCTCTGATTTTTGATCTGAATTCCCTACATATGCGCTAGTAAAACTAATGGATGAATTAGCTTCTCGACTGCAGAGAGTGAAAGCATGAAAAAGGATTGTGTTTTGGTTTTAGGTCTCGGCTGGCACCAGGGAAATTTCAAGAAAGCAAAGACCCCTTTGATCTTGAAAGTTTCGTACGAAGTCTCCTTTGACTTAAAGCCTATACTAAAAACCCTCAGAAAAACGAAACGTCTGCCGAAAAAGTCGCAAATTTTGTGTCTTTTCGGCCACAAAAACGGTTCCTGCTTTTGTCCCAAAAACGATATCCAGCTTGACCCGGTGCCAGCTGTCCGAGCCGTGTTTGGTTCATATGATGGCCCGTGATCTGATCCAAATATATTGGCAGATTTACAGAAAAAGGCATTGTAAACAAGTTATGTGTCCCAAGTCATCTCTTTTTTCAATCCTTTGTCAAAGCTTATAAGGACTGCACTCACAATGTCATTAATATCCTCGGGCACCGTCTTCCTTTGGTGACTGAACGGATGAATCCACATCTAAAAATAACGAAACTCAAAAGGTAAAAGTAAATGTGATAGTGGCCCTACAAAAAGACGTTTCTCCTCTAAATAATCTTGATGATAACTGAAAATCAACTTCCTCTCTCCCGGATAAGAGTCTGAAAAAGTTTACGAAAAATGCTATTGAAGAACGCGATGTGTGCAGTTCCTATTTCTAAATTTGACCAACGTCATTACAGATCCTTTTCAAGTGCAATTTCTAAGAGTCAGTAAACTTCTTGTCAGCATGATCTATTTCATTGTTAGAATTGGCTAAAAATCAAAAGGTTCATGGTATTACCTGAGAGTAGGTGTGCAGAGTTAAGAAAGCATCGACTTTCCCGCGTAAGTCAGGCGAGAACATAGCATCTCTGACTGCTCTGAAAAACACACCTTTTATTTTGATGCGACTCATGTTCAACAGTTTTTTGAAAAAGTACTGAAAAGATGGGCATGCATACCGCGCTTCAGCTTCGCTGAATGGTCCCTTTCCTTGGTAAATTTCGGAACATCTGTCAGAGCTCGATCCAACTTCTATAATGCATTCAATTACTAAAAGGTCATACACACATTCTGCAATTACTTTTCATAACAAAACTCATGACTGAGCATTGAAAATGCACTCGATAATGTAATGCGTTCAGATGATTGCTTTGCTTTTTACTCAGTGTTTCATATCTCGAATTTGCTCTAAAGCAGAAAATTGCCTGTGTTCTTCTTAATGATGTGATCGTTACTACAGTAGGTATTATATCAGAACTGGTTCACAAAAACAAAATAAACATGTAACATACATTTATATGAAATGAGATTCAGAGCCTTATTTTGACGTTATTTTACGAAACACCAACCGCTTTGAGGACTTTTTCATTGAAAATGAGCTAAATCGCATAATGCATAGTTACGACTTGTGGCTTGCATAGTTATGGCTTATTATTAACAAATATATTCTTCGAAAAATATTTCATTCGAAAAATAGGTAAAAATCGTAGTTATTTGGGATCTCATTCTAGCACTCCCTGGCAGCAAATGTATAGGCTAGAAGAATTTTTCGTCTTTTTCCAAACAGTCTTTTTCAAATATAAAAAGTTCGTCCTCGCCTTTAGTTATTCCGCGAAAACCCTCGTCAAAAAGCTTGAAGCAACACAAAAGACTGAAGTGTGCATAGAAAGGCATTTAGAGAACGTTCTCTAGAAAAGAAAATAGATTTATTGCAGGTAATGCCTACTCAGGAAACTGATCGAAACTTCGGCAGAACGTTTGGGAAAGTTCCGCCAGGTCACCTGCGGAAGTTCCGCAAACATGCTGCGGAAGTTCCGAAGGATGCGCACAGTAGTAAAAGAGAGGACCTGAGCGAGATTCGAACCTTTCTTTATTGACCGTGAGACTGGCTTAATATCCTCTGCACTACTTACTGAATGTTCAACAACGCACTTTAGCAATTGGCGAGACAACCTCTCAAGAGACGACACATTCAAAAACTGCGGAAGTGTTGGCTAGTTAAAAGGCTGCGGCCACTGACATTTTTCGGAATTTTCGTAACGTTTTGTAACAAGTCCCGCGAAAGTTCCTCTTTTGATCCCGCAAAAGTTCCCATTTGCAACGTCTCCACTTTTGTTATAGTAAACAAAATCCTGCGAATCCTCCGCAAATTTTGCTTGCCCTGCGGAAGCTCCAGTGAATTCGTTGAGTATATATTCTACTACTGTTTACCTATTGAGGAATAATCGCTAGTCATTGTTTTAGAAATCAAAACCAAACTGGAAATCGCAATTGAACTAGCAGCAGCTTAAAAGGTGAAAAGCCTCGTACCTCCCCAGAACCAGTCAAAGTTACGGTTCAAATCTACGCCTCCACAGCATCGTTCACGGAACCACTGATCTTTCTTGCAGAGCATGGAGGAGCGGTTTTTCCTCCAAAGACGAATCTAAAAATTCGATCCAGCTTTAGACCAGATTGACATGTCGAAGGTAAAAGCGAATGACATTCCCACAAACCATAGGAGAAACTCCACTTCGTGAATATTCGTAACCATCGGGGTTGAGAACGGGGAAAATGTAGAAGTTGAGTTGATCGACAGCTTGATGAACAAGCGGGTCTGTGTCGTAGTCTGCTATCAACTGAAATACCATATTGAGATAATTTGTAACGTATTTTCGGTTGAAAAAGTCACAGCTAAGTTTTATGGAACTGGCTTCTGCCAATGGAAATCGCAATAATTTTTTTTGGGAAGAAAACAAAAGCTTTCTTGACTAAGAGAGTTAAAATCAGGTAGCTATTCGGCGAATGGTTTGATAATTTGTCTAAATTTTTCTGCTACTCCGAAAGGGGATCATAAGTGATCCAAGCTTTATGAAGAAATTTTCAAAAAAGGTGAATTACTATGAATTTTTCAAAACCAAATCCCCTTTCCTCCATTAGCCAAACTTTTGCGAGCTTCTTTGAAAAAACCTGAAACCTACTCGGTCAATTATGTAGATAACCGTATGGACAGCTGCCCATTCCCTGGCGTGGATTCCTCCATCAATCCAGAAGACCCGCTTATCATTTCGATGCACCCCAGTGCCAATCTGCAGCAATTTTTTTTTGAGAACGCCTAATTCATTTATTCCATTCCACCTACCTTGATTCCCTTTATTGGGCGTCCCTCGTCAGTGACTCCTATATTAACTACCCTGGCTTTATCTGGGTAATAGCTTTGTATATCCTCCATCCATGAAATGATATGGTCGTATGAATGATACTCTCCGAGTCCGTACTGTAATTACATGATAGTCATTACAAAACTGATCTTTTATGCTGCGAAAAGCGATGAAGGTTTTTGTGCTCATACATTCAAAAATAGAGGGTTTTGAATTAAATATGAAAAGCAAATGGCTGGAATGTCAGACACTAACCTTTGCTTTATTTCCGCCTTCATCGTTGAGTCGCTTGGAAAAATCATCTAATGGTTTTCGCTTATGTTCTCGATCAAGTATTAATCTGCAGAATTTAAAGTTTTAGCAAATCCTAACAAAACATTCACCTTGAGACGGAAGCGTTGAATTCGATCGAATCATTTCGAAATAATTCCTCTACTTCGTCAACGCTCCTAGACTTCCGGGAAGCCCCTTCCCATCTACGCGCAAACAAATCTCAAAAATTTCAAAGTGGTTCAAAGTTCCAGAAAAAATGAAATGGTTTTATTTCTGAGACGTCAAATGTAAAAAAAAATTTTTCCAGGTTCGGTCTTAGCATCGCAAAATTCTGGGAAACATCTCAGAAATTCTCAGAAGGCACAGCTAGAGCCACTTCCCTTCTAAGAAGTACTATCGCTCCCCCCCCCCCCTCCGCCCCCATCCCCCAACTCCCGATCTGGAAAAAATCGTTGGAACCACCACTTGGGAAAATGGAAAGGTTGCTCATAAGGAAGGGAGCCAAAGTCGAAATCGGCTTCCCAAATAAAATATATCCCAATTTGAAGAGCAAACGCTGATTCCAAAACTGCCTCTGTTTTTTTTGCCAAGCACCTCTAGGCGCTGAGTTATGAGTGTTTTTACAAGGAGTGGTCAAAACTCGAAGTGGCCAAACCGAACAAGCTGTATACCATTCGATGCACTATGAAACGCTGACTTCGAATCTGTATTCCTTATCTGCTTATCGCTTCTGTGGACGAAGCTACAAGCAGTTCTATTGTGAAAAAATCGTACATAAAAACTGTGAAATGAAGCACATGGTTGCAATTTCAGCTCAGCTTTAGGCTTTGTGAAATGGAGCAAGTTAGCTGCATGTTTTGGCCCAGCATTAAGCCGAATGTGACTCTGTACGGCCAAATTTTAATCTTTACGCATGATCTCATAGCAGAATATTGACATTTAATGGCTTATAGCTTTGTCCAGAAAAGCGATAAGCAGATAAACAAGAATTTAGAATCAGCGTTTCATGCTGCATCTAACGGTATGCAGCTTGTCTGGACTAGCCACTGCGATATCTGACCATTCCCTTGTTAGGGCGAAAAATTACAGCAAAATCTAGGTAAAAACAATGGTTACGGTCTTTTGAGCGCTCAAATAAAGAACTGTTGAGTACTAGCATACTAGACAAAAGGTTTCCCATGCACAGAGTGGTCTGATGCTCAATGCTGGGCCATTTGCGCAATCTTGGACTAATTCGTACCAGACGCACGTTCAATTTTTGAGCCAAGAAACGCTCACAACGCTCCCCTCGTCAGTAACAACCGATAGTAGATTCTTTTTTACAGTGTTCTAAGTCCAGTTTTGTGGTCGCTAATATATTATAAAGCAGTCGTTCACTTTTTTTCAGATCAATTCTCAATTTTCTATTCGACATTTGTTTGAATTCACCCCTTCCCATTATGCATCAGCTTTAGTCATATGTCAACAGAATTGCGATCAAAATAGGGGAAAACGGTGATTCAGAATACTTCCATGCAAAATCTTTACCATCCGACTTTTGTTTTCCCATTCTACACTGGTTATTCCGCTCCGTCTATCACGGACAGGGCTCGGCACGAGCTGGCACCAGGGAAATTTCAAAACGAAGTCCCGTTTGATATTGAAAATTTCATACGAAGTCCCTTTTGACCTGTTTTGAAAACCCATCATCATTTTTATGTTATGTAAAAAAATGTAGTAGTGTTTTCATGCATTTCCGATATCATGAAAGAACTTTTCACAGCTTTCTGAGCTTTTTAAGTGGTCGAATCACATCTTGAGAAGCAGAAAAAGCCGATTTTTCGAAGGCGGAGCGGACCAAGTGGTTTTCAAATTGCTATAAAACGCTGAAAAGAGAACATTATGAAACAGTTTCTTGTCCGTATGTAATCATTTACAGTGTAGATACATTTTATGTAAAAAAGTATGAAAACTTATGTGAGCAAAGTGTCGGTGCCAGCTCAGCTGGCACCCAGCTGGCACGGTGCCAGCTAATTCAGAAAAAAGTTGGGCACAGCTTTCATTCACATAAGTTTTCATAAATTTTTGGCCCATAGTTCCGGTCCACCAACGCGCATGCACACACCAAATTTGGTGTCATACTATTGCGTTTTGGCTGAAAACAACGCCTTTGTTTGTTGATGGACAGCTTGCCAATGGCATGCCGGTGGCATGCCGGCGGCATTTTTGCGGCAGTTCTTCGCCTCGGCCCCTGTAGAAACGATATCCCCTTTGCTTTCCGCGCTAAAAACGATATCCAGCTTGACCCGGTGCCAGCTGTGCTGAGCCCTGATCACGGATACTTACGTTAAAAAGGATAAGGAGAAGATAGTATTGAAGTTGATAAGAAAAATCGTCTCCCACTTTTTCGGTTAGTAAGTTATCATGTTTGAAGGCAATTGAACTTACTGTTGAACATCGTATATGGTTACACCATGAGGTATGCTGTGATTGCTAAAATAATCTTCCAGCCATTTTTTTCGATTTTCCGGTATCATAATGTCCGCTTTGTGACCAAGGGCAGTCGGAGTAAGCCAGAAGTCGAGCTGTAACGAAAGATCAGTGAGCAATTTTCATTTTTCTCGATCTCTGTTTCCTGTAAAGAACGACCAGGTAATTTTTAATGGGCCATACGGGGTCATTTTTGAAGATTTACATACGATTGATGGCCGTACTGAGCCACGCTATTTCTCTCAAGCTGCGAGACCATTTTTCAATCAAAATAGAATTGAAAATCGTTGCTCACTACGCCTAGCAAGGTCGATGGGTTGATGTGTTGATTGATTCACAATAGATAATAAAACGAATGGTATCAGGATTTTTATAGGCCAACAACCTTCACAATTCTTCCTATTTTGTTTTTGCGCCTCTGCACATGGAGACGTCAAAATACATGAACAGAGTAATTTCAGGACGAAAATCATGACCGTGAACGTTAACAGAAGCTTTGATTGAAGAATATGAGAATGCCTGTCACAGCTATCGCAAGTGGATTGATCAGAAACAGCAGCTCACTAGACGTGCAAGGACTGGGTTTTCAAAAGTTGACCCCCTTTTTGTAACAATGTCTGATAGTCTCGAAACGGCATCAGCGTGATTGCACGTTTTGTGGCACAAAGAACATAACTCTGACGAAATATCTAGCTGGATTGAAGGCAACGTTTCACCCACACCGGCTTTCAAGTTTTCATCATTTCTGGGCCTTTCCATGGCCTTGTATACGAGAAGTACAAGATGCGAGGATCAGAACTCTGCTTTCCGAATCCCTATTTTAGCAGGTTGGACAAGTGTTCCAGTGTTAGCTCTGTCCATGCAACAGGAAGTTCCGTCTGCAACAGGAGCCATTCTATACAACAGGAAGTCCCATCCCATGCGACAAGTTCCAGCCCATGCAACAAAAAGTCCCGTCCCATGCAACAAGTCCCAGCCAATGCAACAGAAAGTCTTATCCCATGCAACAGGAAGCCCCATCCCATGCAACAGGAAGCCCCATCCCATGCAACAGGAAGCCCCATCCCATGCAACAGGAAGCCCCATCCCATGCAACAGGAAAGCCCATCACATGCAACAAGAAGTCCCATCTCATGCAACAGGAAGTCTCGTCCAGGCAATGGAAAGTATCGTATGCAACAGAAAGCCTCTTCCAATGCTACAGGCCGATCCGTTGTGAGCAACAGCAATTTCCGGCGTTTGCAACTGGAACTCCCATCAGGGCCCGGCGGGGGTGGCGTTTTCACAAACTGGATATCTTTTTTGGCCCGAAAAAGCAAAGGGGAAGTCGTATTTTGGGGTCCGGGGTGGTCTTTTTTTACCGATAAACAATGCACATATCATTCTTTATTCATCATTCCTTGTTGACGCTACTGTCTTATGAATTTAGATTCCAGCAATGTGAAGATTCTGTGCTCCGATCGCTAGCCTGCCCGCAGGCGGGAATTCAAATCGCAATTCTTGTAAGAGGAAAATAACAAAATAGGCTCGTTTTCAATGCACAAGTAACGATATGGCACCAAATTTGCTGTGTAGTTGGAGGACCATGAGCACAAAAAATGTATGAAGAATTATGAGAAACTTAAGTGAATTTAAAAAATGGTAAGTGTTTTTCGAAATTAGGTGGCTCCCGCGCCACCCGGGGGCCACCTGGGGTGGCTCCCTGCTTCCCTTCACATAATTTCCCGGATTTCTTTACATAAATGTGGACTAAGTCGAGAGTATTACTATATGCTCAAATCAGCTTGCAAAACCACCAAGGCACCTCTTCGATACAGCCCCAAATAGGGTTCACAGCGTTATGATCGGCCTCGGAAAGCGCGCTCCAATCGCAATCGGTTGTTGTAAATTGTAAAGTTTCGCAGCTAACTAGTAAATGAGTAGTATCTTAGATATATAAACGTCAAAGTTTGTGCAAATCTTGACCCTATGTTTTTTTATAGATTCCTTTGCGGATGAACCCATTGAGCTGAAACATTGATGACCCGGGCTGGACCACGAAAGCCAGGTAGTACTACTATAATAAGCGCTGAGGCCGCCCATCTTATTATTTATGTATATCTGTTTGTCAGGGACTTACGGGGGTCAAAAATAGGGTCAAAGGGGAAGTCGTAAGAAATTTTGGCTTCAAAGGGGATATCGTTTTCAGAATTCTGAAATGCCACCTCCTGCCGGGCCCTGACTCCCATCCCCATGCAACAAGGACACAGTTACACACTATGCGTCTCGATTGTGCTGCTTATATGGGAACTTCAGAAGGTAGTGCTTGGATGGACGGGCAAGTCTGAAGGACTGAGCGGGGCTGAGGTTTCCGCGAAGGTCCATTTTCCACTCCTAAGGGTCAAATGTGGGAACTGGATCAACGCAAATGCTTCCCTTCTAGAGCCTCCTTATAAAATACCGTGTGATCTGGGAGCATGGATTTTGAATGTATGCTGTTTTTAAGGTGAGGAATCATGTCAGAGTGAACACAGCCACCACGGCAAATTCGAGGTAAAACAAAAGCCATATGGTCATTGTGGTAAACATCAGCGCCCCAAAGTAGAACCCTCTGTTGTTAAAATTTTCTTCTTGGCTTTTTCTTCTTACTCTTGAACTTTATGTCAAAAATAGATTTATACTTAGTCCACCTTTTCTTTCTGCTGGAAGTGATTGTTTTTTGTTGTTTCTTTCCCATTTTTCACTTACTTTCCAAAAAATTTGATATATTCCCTAAGAAAACATCCTGAGTCTCCGCTTGCTTGAAACTCTCTGGCTTTACAGAAATTGCGGTACGAAATGCTATTTCGATGCTCTGTACTATTTTATAAAGCATGAAGAATTGCTGTTGTTCACACTGTTGTTCACACTTCGACAGGATCGCCACAGTGATAAAATCTTAAATGTAAAAAATGTAATATTTCTTGCTGTTTTTTGCTGTTCTATTTCAGCAACATGCTATTTCTAGAGAAAGTCAAACTAAAAGAAAATACTGGAAGAAAAGAAAAATTGAAGAAATTAAAGAATTGTTAACCCTAGCACGACTCAAGGTTATGAACAGCAGGCTGGCGCTTGAACTTGATCTAGGCAGTATCATTCGAATAATAATTTCTCTCCATCCCCTCCACTCTGAATACGATGCAGAGCGCCTCGTTGCACTAGTGATACTTGACCACTTTGTTAACACCGTCAAATTTTGATGTTGTAAACAAGCAGATTCAAGGTATCACAACATCTTCGTGGGTACCTAAAGAAGAAAAAGTCTCTCCCTCCGAATTTTGCATGCTTCAAAGCTCGTCTATGTTTTGCTTCCACAGACCATCTTTTTATCACTGAAAGCGTATGGATTACGGGTCGAAAACTAAAATCGTTGCGCTGAGACGAGAAATCGAGAAAAAACATCTTCATAGCTACATACCGGTCTTGGGCGTTCATGATCCACAATATATATCGGGAACAAGTCCTCGTTGAACCCACGTTTTCAAAGCGAAAGCGCTGCAAAAAACTCACATCGTATATATGCATGTTATCATGCAGTTCCCGAATGACACTCAGTTGTTCCAAGGTGTTTGGAGAGGCCCGGTATACGACGAACTTCCTGAATCAGGATGGGTTCGAGTGGGTTTGAGTGTGATCCGAAGAAGTTTAAAGTATTCCAGACTTACTCTTCCGGGTCAGCATCAGGGACCGATGCATACATTTGGGCCGCAAGAGCGAGAATCAATGCTGGCAGAGACCTCAGCCGGACCTTCATCTGTAATGCTGACGGTCATAAAGTGAAGTTGATTCCAAAAGCCAGAGAGATTGAAAAATCATGGTACATAAAGCGGCAGAAGAGACTGTCGTTGGTGATAAATGCAGTTCTTTATCGACTCCGACATTGAACATGAAAGAAAGAGAAGGAATGCAGATTTTTGAATGACATTTTCGGAAGCACATTTATTTTCTTGTGAAAATAATGTGATATGATATTCAACTCAAAGGTGATATTTTTCGACATGTCAATATTAATGGTACTAATAATGATGTCGAGTTGGTATAATACATCATTATTATACATCATTTATGCTTCTAATTTTTATAGAGGTGCTAAGGTACATATTTAACAAGCTGAATATCTAGTTGGGAGGCATTCATTTTCTTGAAAAAATTGGAAATTTTCACGAAGGCAGCAGCATCGTTCGCACTTTCCACGCCCTTACCTATTCAGAGAAACTTTGAGGTATTTGTACTGGATTTTAGCATTTTATGGTAAGATATTTGAAAAAACAGGTCAAAAACTGTTTGAAAAACTGTGGCATTAGGCGCTAAGACCATTTGAATGATTGAGTTTAAATTATTTTCTTTCAAAAAAAAAATGAGAAAAGACGATCCATCAGTAACTTATTCATCTTCAAGTATTTTCAGAGCTTCAAGGAAGTTCGATACCTTGAAAGCCGTATCCTCTTGCAGCTTTGCAGAGATGTATTCTCGAAGCTAAAAATTTCAAGCTTTTTGAAGAAAGGGCTGTTAACGAAACTTTGGGGTTTAAGGTATTCACGTGTCTCAATCGAGGGTCTGGAGCCGGAATAGTATAAGATTGAAATAAATGGCAGAACGATTAGATTTGAAGAATGTGGAGCTCAAAAAGCTCTGTAGATAAAAGTTGGAAGTTCAAAAAGACAAGTTCTTGATTATAAATCATCTTGCTTCACTAAATATTAATTTCATAGAACTCCAATTTTTCTTTTTGGTGGCAAGTCAATTTGAAAAAATCCGAGAATGTATGTGCCGAAAATCACATATTGTAACAAATGAAGGTAGCAACGAAGCTATAGGCAGCGTCAGGCAAGTGAGCAAGCAATGAAATAAATTCTTTGAATTTCTACGGAAGATACCCCTCCCCTTTTCTTCCTAGCTCCAGGCAGTTCTTCAACTCAGTCGTTCATCAAAACGGTTCACAAGCAACTCTTACCTTGGAGTGTGCCATTTGAACAGCAGAAATGAGCGCTTCGTCCCAGCAATTATGTGTGTCAAATTCTGACGACCTTGAACGGTTGCGCTTCCAAATCGAGCAGGTCAAATTAGATTCATCAACGCCGGTGCAAGCTTTGGTTTGGGGCAAACCTGTTATAGGCGACAGTTAGTCTAAGTGTTCGAATGAATTAAACAAACAATGCAACACTTGATTAGCTACTTACGCCAGCGAAAATAGCGAACACAATCGAGTGGAGTACGCTGGAGTAACGAACGATTAGAAACTCAGGGAATTTGCAGAACAGATGCCAACATTACTCATCGCAAGGACATCAGTAATGGGCAGTCAAATCAGAAGTTTTTTCTTAAAAGTGTGGTCAAACGGAGAGTGATGAGGCATGATTGTTGCAAAAGGTTTTACCAAAAAGGTTGAGAAACTCTTTCTTGTTTGAGAGCCACCATCCTCTCCGAACAACGTAGATAGCACTTTCGTCTTGTAGTCTGTATAGTTCATTTATAGAATCGTGACGACGGATTTTACTGCGGACTTTGAGTCCAAAGGAGCATGAAATGCTCATATAAGAAGGCATCACCTCAACGTTTAGCTCAGCCACTTCATCATACGTGAGCAAAAAAACCATTTGACTAGAGATAAAAACCAAGAAAATGCGATTTGCAGAAGTGGCGTGCGTGTCGCGCGCGGTCGCGCCATCGTCACGGTTTTCTAGTTGGTCTATAGCAATCGAAGACAGTTTCTAGATAAATCAAGGTAAGAAAGTTTCTCAGGAAGGATTGAAAGGCTTTAACTAAGCTACTCGAGCGGCTGCTTATGTGATTTATTGGTAGCCGAAAAAAATCAGACTCTCGCCCTTAAGGTACTCTTTTCGTGCAGACCAATCGCGTTCTCTGCGATACGGTAGTGGGCGAGAGTTCGAAGATAAATCTCTCTGCCTCAGATAAAACATATGAGCTGTGGATTAGGAAGTTTGCTGGAACGTTCACTGAACTCTCGCCCGTTACCGTACTTTTTCAAGAAGACCCATCAGAGACTCAGGATGCGGTAGTGGGAAAGAGTTGGAGCTGAATGTCTCATTCACAATTGAATCATACGAGCTGCTTAAGCAATGACTTAGTTAAGGCCTCATTATTAGTATTCAAATAAGATAATACCGTATTTTTGAGTACTTTCTAAGACTAAGAAGTTAATACAAAATTGCAATAAAGAAGCTTTGGTCGTCTTTTCTTCATGCGCTTTGGTCAAGAAAGTTAGAGAAGAGGATGATTCATGAAGCTACCTAGGGATAATCATGTACAGAATTATCACACGTTTCTACCCACGAATATTGAAAAAAACAGATTTCCAAGAGGAAATTCTCCAAAGAGCACAGAAAAACCAAAAGAATGTACGGAACCGCATCGCTCATTCAAGCAATAAACACAATGGAGGAGAGCACTGAGACGATGAACCGTGACTGTAAAAGCGGTGAGAAGGAGATTGGTGAAGTCAGCGGTTTTTTGAAACCGCAGTAGTGAGCTATCACCCAGGACGAGAGCTCTAATTGAGACGAAATATTGATGGAGTCAGAGGGTGTTAATAAAGCAAGCCTGGTCCTTCGTTTGATTGTTTAAAATGTGTGGCACAAAATATTCGCATAAAAAGCTAAGGTTTCAAATGGTCTCGCTTTTATGCAATCTGCGCTTATAATTTAAAAGTAATGGCTTTAGCAGAAGAAAATTTATCCTAGATCATAAGAGCGCAAAAATTTCAAAGTTCCTAAAATTTCAGACTTCTTAGGAAAAATTTGCTTCGAAGCTCACTATGAAGATCATTCTTATTCACAAAATGAGGTGAACTAATGAAAGCTAGCTGAGACTAGCAATTACCAACAGAAGAAATGAAAAAGGTGTGGGGATCGGTCAAAAATTCACACGGAACCAGTTTTCTCTCAATGCGCCTCGGTCTCAGCACGGGTCTGCGTCACCGTCGAAGCTGATCATTACGAGCTATCGCTAGAAATTTCATCTTGTTTAGAGATACAAATAAAAAAAATTGACATATGTCACATAATATGACAATACCAATAAAAATAAATAATAATAACAGCAATTAGGCTGATAATAAAGAATCTAATTACAGCATATTTGAACAAAAAACCCGCGCGAGCAAAAATGGAACCAAGAATGGGATAGCTCAGTTTTTGCAAAAAAATCTCCATTCATTTATCATAGATTGTTAGCCCTTTGATGGAGTGGCAAGAACAGTTAATAATAAATAATGACAGCAGCTCTAATAATGTGACAAGACTATATTTACCCATAAACTCGCTCTGAAAGCAGTAATGGAATAAAGAATGGGGTAGTTCAATTTTTGCAAAAACACTCAAATGTCAGAAATTGGTAGTTCTATGACTTGGCAAAAATAATTCAGCACATATTAGGTATGCTGATGTTGATGTGATAATTGGGTTAGGTGATGTATGTAGATATATTCAATTTCTTCTGCTCCTGTTCCAAGTCTAGTAGCGTATTCTTCAAAATATCGCCTTTTTTTCATCCTCAACTTGAAGACTGGGAACTGATTGTTTGGTCTGCTATTATTGTGAGTCCTGCGATTTCTGCGATTTGTGCAATCCTTTGTCGGCCGTTATCCATGGAGCGCGGAAACCCACGTCTGCCAAATTATGACTCTGTTGCCCGCAGTTAATGCACATTTTCTCCACTTGCAGGCAAAAAGGCAAAATTAAATTATATGAATAACGGAAATTACACTACATGGGACAACATAGATCAAAGAAATCATAGAGGTCGCAAAAATTGTCGGAACATGGTCGAGCTCTGAAGACCTACAGAACTTAACACCGCCGACTCATCAACAAGATTTGTTTTGAATGTGCGATTGATAGCCGGGGCAAGGTCGACATCTGGTTAACACATCGCCGGGCGTGTTTGAGTTTTCTGACACCACCGCATAGCAGTTTCCGCCCTAGTCGCGAGTGGCAAGCACGACACACATTCAGGTTATCCGAATCGGTGTCTGATAGCCTTGGCCACTGCTGTAGCCATTTTATGAGCACCGCTTGTGCCATGCTTGTTAGCCAGCCTGCCCCACAACAAGCCTGCCATAAACAAAAGCAGAAAACTGTATTTTGCGTTTGGAGGAGAGTAGCTGAATGGTGGTGTCAGATCCACAAAACCCAAGAACGTGAAGGAAAAGCAGGCTTTCTAGTTGCCATGATATCAAAACTACAAGCAGAGTATTAGGCCAAAACATTCATGTACTATGTTGAAGCTTTTAAACTTTTCCAAATTCAGAAAGTTGGTGTATACAGCAAAGGGAAGAAATTTTGCTTTCAATAGAAACCAAAGGTGTCATATTGCGGCTGGATAGGTGATAAATAAAGTCCTTGAGTTTTCTATATGTTCGGTTTCCAAAATGATGAAAGGTGCAACATTTTCTAACTTTACTCCAGGTCTAGGCAAATTAAATTTGCACAATCACATATCTTCTACGAAAATTTCTAGCCTTCAAACTTTATTTTCAAATTCGGGTCCTGCTCGAAAAACTTCTATTCATAAGAAAAACCTTGCATATTTGTTCTAGCAAAAAAGTTATAATTTCTAATGATAAAATTATTTTTTAGTGCAAAACTTCAGTAAGAACCTGACTCATTCCACAGTGACCGGCGCAATGATAGAGCGAGTCAAAATACTTGAAAACGTAGTGCTTCCCATTTTCATGGGATGACTTAACATGTTTAGTGAACATAATACAGCGATACAATGCGATTTTTATATTGACTAAAAATAAATAACAAAGAGTTTGAGTTTTTGTTACATTTCTGGAAAACCATAAGCGATTGAGAAATATTCTATTAGCACAAAATTCTGTAGAATAAAAAAGACGATCTACAAAACCTGTATTCTATCGAAAATTTATTAGCATTTTCCACCTTTCGTAATTCTCTCCAAATTGCAAAAATCAGTTAATTATCAAGCTTGGATCTATCGTGTGTTACCAGCGATATTTGCTTCATTGCTGAAATGCATTGAGTCATGAAAGCTTGCAAACAGGAGCAGATTACAAATTTAAAGCAAAGGTGCTGCGCTTTTGCATCATTCTTATATTAGGTTGAACCGAAAGCTCTGTCGCACCATTTTCAAAATATCATAACTTCTTTTCATCGAGACGGTTTTGCGCAATTCAAATTTTGTCTGAAAGCGTAAAGTATGTACTTTCCAATGATCCCTTGATGACTTTCCAACATGTTCAGTTTGCACAGACAAAAATGAAAGAACGAGATCATCCGAAATTCGGAATTTTTTAGCAAAAATTTTAAGAATTTAGAAACTGTGCGATAAAATCCAGAATAGCTGTCATCCTAAGTTCTCTTGTATTTTATCACTAACTGAGCCAAGTTTGTGCTGATTGAGCTCTTCTTTCAAAACTTATGATTTTTTGAAAAAAAATGCCGAAAAATCAATTTCCTAAGAAGTCTTAAGAAATCGATTTTTCGGCATTTTTTTCAAAAAATCATAACTTTTGAAAGAAGAGCTCAATCAGCACAAACTTGGCTCAGTTAGTGATAAGATACAAGAGAACTTAGGATGACAGCTATTCTGGATTTTATCGCACAGTTTCTAAATTCTTAAAATTTTTGCTAAAAAATTCCGAATTTCGGATGATCTCGTTCTTTCATTTTTGTCTCTGCAAACTGAACATGTTGGAAAGTCACCAAGGGATCATTGGAAAGTACATACTTTACGCTTTCAGACAAAATTTGAGTTGCGCAAAACCGTCTCGATGAAAAGAAGTTATGATATTTTGAAAATGGTGCGACAGAGCTTTCGGTTCAACTTAATATTTTAGAGGTCTGTATTGTTCTTTTCTTGAAGGAACACACCCATTTGGCAATGTCAAATTGGAGATGTGCATATAAATTGTCTTTAGAAGCAGGCTTTCTGGGAAAACATGCGTATTGTGAAAAACAGTACAAGCAAAATTAAAATTCATGGTTTGATAATTTAGCGACCGAAATTTTGTCTATGTTCAAGTAAAAATTTGTGCTTATTTTACGCCTTGAGAAAAACAATTCAGATTCAAAAGTGATGAGAAACAGCGGAATATTTAGCAGAACAATTCTTACGAATTATAGTGTTATTGAGAATTGATTGTACCACAAAAACCTGCATATGATGAAGTTGCTAGCAGATGACAGCAGATTCCAGCATCGTCTTTTTGGTCCAACTTTATTTCGCTAATCTTCGATAACTGGCTCGATTGAGCATGAATAGACATCCTCGCAAATTCTTATGATATCTCTCGCTAATGAAGATGTTTTGATTCAATTTCAAGATTATGTCAAGGTCTTGAACTCGAACGGCGGGATTGCTGCGATTAAGGCTAATTCATTGACATGATCGTAGCAAAGATCTCACAATTCAAAAAGCAGAGAGCTACAAATAATCACAAAATTAGGGTAATAGTGGATTAGTGTCACACGCCCATGTTGGGTCATCAGAGATGACTCAAAACTTGGATCAATTCCAAAAAAAGATCTTGTATGAATCATTACGCAAGCGTTTACCGATAAAGAGGGAAAAAATTGAGAGATGAAAGAACGTTCAACAATTGGAAAATTAGTAAGACAAATGCAAAGTAGCACTTTTTTACAGTATTCCAAAACTAAAACTATGAAGTGAGTACTATTTTTGAACACAGACAAATAATCCTATACTTAGAGAAATATTATCGATCAATGAGTTCTGAAAGAGAGGAAGTTTAAAAGATCGGTGTCTGAAGAGCTTGGTATTATTTACTGATCTATGCAACAGAAACAATCAAAAAGTTAAAGTTGTAATTTTTATTAGATAGTGACAGAAGCAAGTGTGTAGGATACTGAAATGCAGTAAAAGTTTTGCGCCCAACAGATCCGAAAATTCAGTGAAATTCGACGAATTATGGACAGGAAACGTAACAAAACAACGAAGATAAACAGACACACTGCAGACGTTCTCCATTGCAAGAGGTGCTCGTCTGTTTGCTGTGAAAGTCTGGAACCAAAACTCGGAAGTGGCGAAAAAAGCCAAGGGCAACGACTCGAAAACGTTGGCGCATCAGCTGAAAAGCGAGCTTTTCCTATTGCGAGGATGAGATACGAACTCGCTTTTCATCAAAAGACAGCATGAAATGGGCACTCAATCCTGGGTAAGAGCCAGCTAGCGCCGCTTCTTCCGCCTATTGAAGAAGTGCTATTCATACTCTGCTTCTTTCTAGAGGTCTTGATGTCGCCCCATTCCAGTGGGAAGGATAGTTAGACCAAGTAAGTAATGCCATAGTTGCATGTACTCCAAGAAAGCATTCCGTCTGCGTGAAAAGATTAATGGTATGACTGCCAAAAAGTGATCGAAGAAAATAGGGAAGGATTGCACTTCTTGTTTGCTCTAGATCTTTTTAGGAGAAAACTATTAGTTAGTTCTATGCAGAATACTTACTTTCTTGCATATTTGTCCTTTTCGTCATTCTATAAATAGATTCTTGGGGTCTTTAGGAGTGATTATCTTTTTCAGGCCCGTTTTTAAGAATTGCGAGAACATAGAAGCCTTGAATTAGAACTTCAAGATTCACAAGAGATGCTTACTTTCCCACACTCCCAAAAATGTCCAGGACCTGCTATATAACTCAAAAATTGCTGCTGAAGTAAAAGCAATTTAATTGTCATTCTCAAATGGATGAAAAAAGTTTCATAGCCCTATTTTTACCCATTTCCCTTACTATTACTTTTCCGGAAGACGACGTCGTTAATAGCTTTTATTCACACCAGTGGCACTCTAATCGTGAATTATTTGAGTTATTATTATCAGTTATTAACTTAATTTGAGCTTTCAATTGTTACAGGTCCATTATCGCTCATACCCGTATAGCAAAGTGGACGGTTTTGATAATTAAAGGCAGAGATTTTTTTGTTTTGCGATTGTTAAAGGAAATCGTTAACTTTTTTCAAAAAGGTGTACTTATTCTTGTCATAATCACTTTTCGTCTCTTCGATATGGCACAACATGACTTCACTTGCAGCAAGGTTCAATAGAAATTTCGCGAAATACGCTTATAAAATTATAGCGTAATTTATGCCTGCCGAGGCCAAGTTTGTATTACAGACAAAAAGAAATGAATCAGAAGAATGCCGAACATGCTTGAGCAAACAAGAAATTTCCAAAGGAGCAATGCATCGTTACGAGGTAAGAACGATTATTATTGCATCAGTTCAATACTTAGGCAACTCTTTCAAAAACATAAAGGATCAGGCGAGAGAGGTTTCAATTACTTGTATCAAGATAAGGACGGTTGCCAACATTAAACTTTTTTTGTGAAAGGTTTGAACGGTTTGTTGAAGATATTAATATCTAGTGAATGCATGAATTTGCAAGAAGACAAAACATATAGAAAAACTGGTTTGAACTAAAGTAGTAGCAACGACTTGGACAGCCTGGAACTGAAATTGGAAAGGAAGCAACTGTGATCAATTATCTTCTGCACTGGCTCTCCGTGTACTAGATTGCTAGCGATCTCGTCTTTCAGTGTAAACTTTTGAAACTTCGCACAAAAAATGGTCACAGCAGCTCTGCCATACATTGAATCCTAATTTGAAAGTTCAAATGCATCAGAAAAAGTAAAATTTGAAAGAAAAGTAAAGAGAATAGCTCTTGATCGAAAACATCACCACTACTGCGATTGGTAGCACATGTTGCTGCAGTTCCAGCTATATAAAACCAGATACGGCTTGCGTGGCGTGAAAACAATGATAAACAGAGTAAGGAGTTGCGAGCGATTTCAGCTGAAAGTTCCACAGCTCTTGTAACATGTTGTTACTCAAAGGAATCTTGAGTATCACTGTTTTGTGAAATTATTGCCAGGGAGACTCCTTGAAGACGCCTTTTCAAATCGCTCACGTTGCGCTATTGGTCAAGATGAGCTGTGATTGGCCAGCAGCTAACGATTCGTGGCAATAGAAGAGCGGGACATGAGACAGTTTGTGTTTACCCGCATTTCCTAGCAATCTTTCGATTGCTTGCAGAAAAACGTCGAAAA